CTCCACGGCTGAAAGGGCGAGCATGTTTGGTATGACGGGGATTCGAACCCGCGACCCTCAGATTGCGAGTCGAGCGCCGTAACCACCTGGCCATGCCGGGCATGCCACTGGAGGGTTAAACTAAAATGAAGGCAGCCAATAAACACCACCCACTGCCATCTCTTAGACTACTCCATTACCAACGAGTAGTTGGATTGACTGCCACTTTATAACGCCCCCACGGCTGAGAGGGCAAACATGTTCGGTGAAGGGGTGCAAACCGGTGACCAGCAGATTTTGAGTCGAGTGCCATAATCACCAAGCCATTCCAGACCTAAATATTAATAATGAAGTAAATTTAAACCACTAATAAGAGCTTTATCTCTTCATAGAGTCATTGTTTTTCTTAAACTTCTAATAGTATAAAGTTGAATTTGTAACAGAATAGCACTGGTAATAAAATATAGTTAGTCACTGACGTAAGAAATTGATAAATAAATATTTTGTGAAAGACATTTCACCCATGTATAACCGGATGTTTTTATATGAAAGTTTTTTTTTTACACAAACCACGTGATTAATTATTCTTGAGCCTAAAATGTTGAAAGTCGGAACACAACTAGAGAGTACAAACCTGCACCTTTTGAATAAGTCCCTCAGTCACTCAACGGTAAGTCTGAAGGCTTTACCGCTAAAAACCGGATTTGATACCCGTGGTGGGTACACCACAGAGAGCCCAGTACGTAACTTTGCGGTTAACAACAAACAAAATTGTAATTAAGAAAATTTTCAACACGAAGACCAGATGGTGTAACCTATTACTTGTTTACTTGGACAGCTAAAGAGAGTCAATTGTAGTTTCTTAACGTGGATAACTATAAAGGAGGTAACCTGTAGCTTACCAACCTGGAAACCTATAACTTGTCAAAGTGGATATCTAGATGTAGTCACTAATAATTTGTCGAGGTGAACAACTAAAGGGAGTTAGTTACTTGTAACTTATCATGATGCATTACTGAAGATAATAACCTCTAATTTGTCAACTCGGACAACTAGAAGAGGTCATCTGATATGTCAATATGGACATTTACTTGAAGTTACCTGTAATTCGCTAACGTGGAGAGCCATAAAGAGTTACCTCTAATTTATCAAAATGGACACCTAGAGGTGGTAACCTGTAATTTGTTACCCCGAGGATATAGTATAAGTCAACTGTAAATTGTCAGCTTGAACAGCCAAAAGAAGTTACCTGTAATTTGTCAATATGGACACCTATTAGAAGTTACCTATAATTTGTCAATATGGACAACTGTTAGAAGTTACCTATTATTTGTCAAACAAATTACAGGTAACTTCTAATAGGTGTCCATAGTCCATATTGACAAATTACAGGTAACTTCTAACAGTTGTCCATATTGACCTATTAGAAGTTACCTGTAATTTGTCAATATGGACACCTATTAGAAGTTACCTGTAATTTGTCAATATGGACACCTATTAGAAGTTACCTGTTATTTGTCAGCATGGAGAAGTAGAAGGAGTTGCCTGTAATTTGTCAATATGGACACCTATTAGAAGTTACCTGTAATTTGTCAATATAGACACCTATTAGAAGTTACCTGTTATTTGTCAGCATGGAGAAGTAGAAGGAGTTGCCTGTAACTTGTCAACGTGTGTTTGGTTTATTCCACTCATTAACTAACCAGTTTTTAGTATAGCTGCAGCAGGTACCAATAAGTGTGGTTTATTCTACTTAATTGACCAATCTAAAAATAATGTCTTCCTGTTACTACAGCTGCCATTAGTGTATATGAATAATTCTACTGTTTAACTGACTAACCTTACTTAACATAGTATTGTTGCTGCAACTACAGCAGAAAACTGCATTATTGCTTTTACTAGTGGGGTCCATTGTTACATTATGATACATACACACTTACACACGTGATTGAAACCCGCCACAGAAAATGCTCGCTCTTTCAGCGACGTAGGCGTTACAGTGAGGCGGTCAATCCCACCATTCATTGGTAAATAGTAGCCCAACGGTTGGTAGTGGATAGTATTGACCAGCTGCATTCCCTCTAGTCTCACTTTTAAATTAAGGACGGTTAATGCAAATAACCCTCAACTAGCTTTGCGAGAAATTCAAAAAATGATAATAATTAAAATAGTGTAATAGCTGTTCCAAGTACATTATCTTAGCTCTTTCATTTGGAGGATTTGTTCAATATATTCGCTCTTGTTAAGACCTTAAACCAATTAGAAAGAACAACAACGTCACATTCACTTAGGGCATGTCCTAATTCTAACACATTTGACTTATGGGGGATCTTAAGTTAACATGTTCTTTCACTCGCGTTAACAGTTTTTTGTTAGTTAACAGTTTCTGATAGTACAAAAATCGACTAAAGTTGAAGTGTTTCGTATCTATGATTATGATAGTCCCTCTCTGTCCAGATTGCCAAATTTATCAAAGCTTAGTCTTGAGCTGTGGCTAGGTAGTAGAGACAAAATGTTCTACACGCATCATCTTTAGCATAAGCAAGGGCAGTGTATTCTTATGGGCGTACAAACACGGTGCGAATTTATCTGATTTACATTTATTACCAAAAATATCTAATAGATACTTTGGTATTATACACATTTATATGTAATGGATACTTTGGTATTATACACATTTATATGTAATGGATACTTTGGTATTATACACATTTATATGTAATGGATACTTTGGTATTATACACATTTATATGTAATGGATACTTTGGTATTATACACATTTATATGTAATGGATACTTTGGTATTATACACATTTATATCTAATGGATACTTTGGTATTATACACATTTATATGTAATGGATACTTTGGTATTATACACATTTATATCTAATGGATACTTCGGTATTATACCCATTTATAGGGCGTTATGGTAGAGGAATGTACTACGCATTAACTCCCCCCTTAGTTAATATGTATTTTTTCTATTCCTTTTTTTTTCTTTAGTTCAGTTTCTATGCAGAGAGTTGCTCAAGTAAGCCTCTCAATTTTCATTCCTCTGATGCCCAAGAAACGTGGATTTCCCTAACTGAATATTAGCGTGTTTCCATATTGGAAAGATGGTTCATGCCATTTGGAGATAGACTTATGTCTTTTCTGTTAACTCTCGTGCGCTCACTGATCACAGTGAACGAAGGTCATGTTGACAAGGTGTGGTTGTGTGCAAACCTAGTTTTGTTGAAATTATTGTGTTTTGTATTTAAAACCAGATTTGCTTGGTTTTTGTGGGTTTTAGCTTTTGCATGGCTTAAAGTTACAATGTTTGGATTTTGATTAAATTATCGGGGTTATTTTATATTTTAAATTTTGTTTCAGTGTAACTTACAAGGAAGATCACACTGAACTGGTAAGAGAAGTCAATTAAAGGTTTCTCTATACCTCTTACCATTTCAACACACCCGCCACATTTGCCCTTGTTTTGTCTTGTGACATTTAATGCGTTTTTTGTAATAAAGATGATTGTTACCCACCCTTCATGTTACGACTCTTTCTTCCCAATGAACTCAGTTAGAGTTTAGACACACACACACTTCGTAACTTGATATTCTTCGAGCCTTCAATTAACGGACCCTAACCAACTACTCTGTGGAAATCCGTGTACTGGTTAATGCCACAATGCTAACAGTTAGATAATTTGGTTCAGTATCGTTATCTATATGCGCCATATAAAAATACATTAATATAGTGAAATACAGTGTACGTTTATATATTTTAAAATCTGAAATATATTCTTCACCAACACACATTACAGTGGGGTCCCCAGGTAAGTTTACAGACTTACAACGCTAAAATCCGGAGTTCGATTTCCCGCTGTGAACACAGCAGCTAGCCCCATGTGGCTTTTCTCTAAATCAAATAAAAGTAACGTTGCAGTTGGAATTATACTTTTCATCTACAAATATTGTAATTATTGGTTTTTATCCACATATTTTATAGTGAAAATATATTATCATTTCTCATGTTTTAATTCTCAATAAGAGGTTTGTGATTTTATAATTCAAAGTGAAAATTATATAAGTACCCCACGTCTGTATTAGTCAAATCCAAATTATATTATACATGCATAATTAAAAATCCTGATTTGAAAAACAGTGGCAAGTTTATTCAATTATTCTTGTTAATTATTCTAATAGTGTTTTCCAAAAAAATATCAAACCTATTTCCATTTAGATAGCCCTCAGTTACTTAGCGGTACGTCAATGGGCTTATAACGCTAAGAATATGGATTAGATACCCGTGGTAGTACAGAACAACTACCCCATTGTATAACTTTGTGCTTAACAAGAAACAAACAGACCGTTTGGGTATAACCTTAACATCATTTTATGTATTATCCTACTTGTTTTTGTTCATGTCCTAGTTTTAATCGCTTCACATAGAAATACGTTTTTATTCTTGTTCAAAATTAGAAATATACATACGTCCCATTAGAAAAAGTTGTTCCCGTTGTTATTATTAAAATCAACAAATAACTCCTACGTTCTTACAATCAGGTCAACTTACTGTCATCTTAAATAAAACGTTATATAGTTTCAAACAACAAAAATGCATGTTGTATAGGTAACTTCCATTGTAACACTTTGTCCGCGTGTGTCTGTCACACTAGATAAATTGATGTCCACTTATCTAAACCAACAATAAGATTTTCCCCACAACGATCGTTTAATCACTTGAAAACGTCTTACTAGCACAAAGGAATAATATTGTAAACTGAGAGTATGTTAAAGGGATTTTATTCATTTAAGAACAAGTTAGATAACTTGAGCTCTGTCTATGGCCGGGAGCGGAATTGTTTTAAAAGAAGCAGTTTGTTTGTTTGTAATTAAGCACAAAGCTACACAATGGGCTATCTGTGCTCTGCCCACCACGGGTATAGAAACCCGGATTCTAACGTTGTAAGTCCGCAGACATACCGCTGTGCCACTGGGGGGCAAAAGAAGCAGAGTTGTTGCTGTTTATGCAGCAAGAACACAACTTCCCACTCTTCGACTTTTACTTCGTACTTTCGTTGATTTTCCTGGGTCCTAATATGACTGGTACTTAGTTTGGTCTTTAATAAAAGTGCATTATTAGTCTTGAGAGTTAAAGCCTTCTATTATTGAAACGGTGAGAAGTACATACCCCTATGCAATTATGCCTATGCCCCAAGGCTCATACGTTATTCATTAACTGTTTAAACTTTGCCTATTATTTCAAATAAGCGAAATGTTTTTTTGTTTGTTTTTGTTGTTGTTTTTTAAAAGAAAGGAATAAATACGAGAAAAACGTGTATAATTGGGTTATTCGATCACTCAATGGAACTGATTGAAATAAGAATGGAAAATCTTAGAGTTTTAACTGAAGAAAGTGTCAAGTTTTTGTTTTACTGACGTGTTAAAGATGGTGCATAACTAGTTGTGGAAGAATGGGGGGGGGGGCTTTAACGTTGGCTAAAAATTTGGTATAAAAATGACAAACGAGTAGTTTAAAAGTTGATGTGCCCGTCCGATTTCTAACGTTCGAATTTTCAGCAGTTCGCTGTCAATGTAAGCTCAGATTACCACCATAAAGATAGATAGCTCAAACACGAAACAGGCAAAATGGTCAATTCGTCTGAGAGGACCAATGAATAAAGGAACAATAGATATTACGGTCCTCTTTCGCCTCTCGCTTCTCGAATAGCATAACATGTAAATCGTCAGATGTATTGCTCCATTGACAATTGTAGTGACAGACGTGTTATTACTCACGTTAAAATAAAAAGAAGAAAGATGAAATAATACCTGTAATTTTGGATAGATAGGTAAGATTTACCATTTATTTATTTTATATGATTATTAAGTATATTTATTTTTGTACGAATCACTCTTTGATTTGGCATAAACGAAAATAACTTTTTGTTTTAGATAGGCTTTGTTTTCTAATATTTATAATTGTTAAATAATAGTTAATAAGGTTTGAGACTTATTAATGAAAGTAAAGAATAAAATATAACAATACATTAACCAGATGTTACCCGGTGGGTCGGGGGTATGTGTCCGGACTCTCAATACTAAAATCCAGGGTTCGATTCCTCACGGTGAATAGAGCGCATATAGCTCGTTGTGTAGCAGTTTGTTTGTTTTTTTGTTATGAATTTCGCGCAAAGCTACATGAGGGCTATCTGCGCTAGCCGTCCCTAATTTATCAGTGTAAGACTAGAGGAAAGGCAGCTAGTCATCACCACCCACCGGCAATTGTTGGGTTACTCATTTACCAACGCCTTAATGTCTTTACAGAAATGTACATCAAGGTTATTTTGACACATCAATGCCCATAATAAAGTATACATCAAAAGATACCTTTAATACTTTAATG